GTGCTATTTTTGTAATTTAAAATCTATTCATTAAACTGTAAAGACAACAAAATAAAGCTGGTCGCATTTACCTATTTCTGGACACTACTCCATATGGAAATAAGTATCGGTGAGAGCTGGCTTTGCTAATCCAAATTGGAAGTGGGTGTTCCCATTCATGGAACCAATGATTTAACTCTTGATAGTTTAACTAAGTAAAATGGAGGTAATCTCTTAATTTGGAAGAAAGGTGAAGAAAGGTGATATGCTCTTTACCTTCCTATTTCTGCCTTAAGCTGTTTTTTTTTTTTTTAAGGTCAGGTTTAAGGATGCCTGAAGATGCACTAAACCAAAAGAAAATAAATTTAAGAGCTCCCAAGATCTGTCGAATAATAACCTGAGGAACTTTAGAAGAGGGAGGAATTCACTACTCACAAATGTTAGTGCTTGATTTGCAGGGAGGGTTTTCAATTAGTTGAACACTACCATGATTTCAGATTCAGGCATTTTCTTGGATCAGATTTGTTATATATGAACTATCTCAAATTTTTCTCAAGTGTATAATTGTTTAACAGAGAAATAATCTGCTGTCAGTATATTTGATTTTGTTAATATTTAATACATCTACTCAAATTTACATTTATCTAAATTTGCCATTGCTTTGGATTATCTGGAAAAGACTAATGAACTCTCAGCCTGAAGCCTTTTTGATATAAGCAACCACTTAATATATGCAAACAGTGCAGACAATAATATAGCTGGTGCCCTTGCCCTGACAGAAGGAGCCTCCAGACCCCTGGCCCTAGGAAGGAGTGGGCACTGAGCAGGTCTCCAGCCCTGACCCCACTTTCACCAAACATCTCTGTTGAGGGGCTACATTGTTTGCTACTCAAAGCAAAGCACAATGTTAATTAATTAATTAGTTATTTGAAAATTGATAAAATAATTTAATTAGTTTAACTTAGTTGATTAAAGGTTAATATTTTTTAGACAAAATGTTAATATTAAATTTTTTGGTCCAAGGTGATCTTGCCTAATTCTTCAGAGTTTTGATCAGACTTCATTTAAATCTGATACACTATGGATGGAAGTGGTTTATTAGGACACGTAAGAGGATATTCTGGGATACAACTTGAACTGGGGTTTCACATGAGGGTAAAGTTTGGGGAAAAGGAGGAAATACTGGACTCAGTGGGAATGTGATGGGAAAAATCTATGGGATTCGGTTGTATTGCTATTGAGCTCTGAGTGAAAATCTTCCTCTTAATACTTTCATGTTCTGGATCATGTTATGAGGATGATTCACTTAAAGGGGGAAAAATCCATTATGCAAAAATGCATCTTAAAAAACAGTTAACTTCAGTAGGAATTATTTTCATTACAGACTAATTCAGCAGGGTTCCTTTAAAAACCATCTCTCCTACTGCACTTAAGGGTGTTATTTACAGATGATTGGCTATTCTGCTGGGCAGAGGGGCAATTTAAGTCAAAAACATCCAAGGCCAGTTAAAGACCCATGGAAAAAAGCACAAACTCAGGATTAATCCTGAAAGTCCGTAAACACGTAGGATCCCATTGACAAATGTGTAATTTACACACACCTGGCTTCTGGAGTGCGACTGTTAGATAAAAATGAGAAACACATGCATTTTCAAGCTGAAACACTGGGGTAGCCTAAAAAAATTGCTGAGACGTAAGGGAGCCTCAGCTTTGGGGAAGAAGGCTGGATTCTTAGAGAAAAAGAGGCCATGCCATTCAGACTTCCAAAACAAGGCACGTGGCTCTCAGCCCTGTGTCTATCAGACCTGGAGAAAGGAAAAGAATCTTAGGTGACCGTATGTTGGTCCCCAGATTGTGTGTGTGTGTGTGTGTGCGTGTAAAAATGAACCTTTACTTTCTGGCTGAATTATTTATAGACAATACGGTGTGACTTTGTACTAAGATATACACCTTAATCTGGAAGAGAAAATATGAGTGTTCCAAAGAAGCCAGCTAACTGCAGACAGGTCTAGTTCCAAAAGGCACTGCTGACCCTGAGAACTAGAGCAGAAAGGAAACCTTAGCGATGTGTCTTAGGTAGGGATGGATCATCTTTACACTCAGCGCCATTGCCTCAAGATGGACCCGAACTCACACCCCTGGGAACCCAAGTGGAGCCGGAGGGGTCTCAGGGTCGGCTGTCCTTACAAAATACCAATTGAGCTTGTCAATCTGAATACTGCTGCTTAAGGATTTGACAAGCGAAGATCCTTATTGCAAGAAACTAGCTTTTGTTTTGCTTTGTTATGGGGTAGTACGATTAGCTATTTATTCGTTTTCCTTAAAACTATTATATACAAAGTGTATACAAGGACATTTATTTTCCTGAATATTTTTGAAAAATTGCTATCAACCTAAGTACCCAACAACGCAGTGGGTGGATAGATTAAAATATAATATCATTAAACAATAGGTTATTATGAGGCCATTAACATATTTTCATAAAGTACATATGACATGATAATAAGCGAAAAAAATAGGATGAAACTGTATAGGTAATATGATGGATTGTGCAATTTAAAAATGAAGGGTGTTGGACACACGACACAGTTTCTATAATTATTATAAATTTTAACTTTGCAACTCAAGAAGAGAAGTCTAATTATAAAGAGTGATACGATATTGCCCTTTTGGGTTTGTAATAATAAAATGGACCTTTTAAATCAGAGATCAGCACACTTTTTTTGTAAAGAGCCAGAATGTCAGTATTTTAGGTTCTTGTGGGCCACCTACGTCTGTCACATATTATTGTTTGTCTTTGTTTTGTTTTTTAATCCTTTGAAAAATCTAAGAAGCCATTCTTAGCTCACCAGTGTTACAAAAACAGGCTGGGGGCTGGATTTGGCCTTTGGGCTGTGGTTTGCTGATCCCTGCTTTAGGTGATTTTATTTTCTCTGTATGCTCTACCTATTTTAACTTGGAGAATTTGTGACATATTTCCATGCTTGACATTTATGACACATTTTCCCCAAGTCACTTTAGAATAGCTATACCAATCCAAACTAGCCCTTTTTTGGAGTTAATTTGTTTCGTTCACTTCTATAAAGAAAAGTGAAATATACATACAGCATATAATCGTAGAGAGCCACGCTGTCCAAGATGGTAGCCATCAGCCCCAGGTGGCTAATTAGAGTAACATTAAGTAAAATTAAATGAAATTAAAAATTCTGTGCCTCGGTCCCACGAGCATGTGTACTGAACTGTGCAGATATAAAACACTTCATTCTATACAGTTCTGTAGGACAACGATGTCAGAGAAAACCCCAAATAATACTCTGGGACTATGGTGAGTTTGGGTCACCCTCTCTCCTACGGAAAATAACATTTATGGAGAAGGAGGGACAGGTATTTACAATGGAAAGATGATGAGATTTAGAGTCAAATAGAGCCAGAAAAGCAGACAAAAGTTGATTAATCTCACCAAGTTCAAAAAACAAATCTACCATATCCTGGCTGTGTGATCCTGGGTGAATCATTCCACTTCTCATTGCCCTCCATTTCCTCAGCTGTAAAGCAAACATTATAATACCTACCTGGTGCAGATTTTGAGGATTAAACAAGGTTAAGCCTGTGAAAATGTGCGGTAGCTTTCTAGTTCTAGGAGACACATGCAGATAATTTACACTGGCCCAAATGGGACAACATTCATAAATTCAGAAAGAACCATTTCTCGCCAGTATGGTTAGATTTTGGCGTCTTGGGGACACGGAAAAATACCTTGCATTTAAGGAATGTCAAAGCTTCTGCTGAAGATTATACTTTGCTTGGGAGAAACAACTGGCTATGCCCATGACCCGATGACTTCAGAGACCCTCGGGTTTCTCACAACCATGATGTTTTTGGCTTCCCTGTGACTGTTTCTAACCTTTGCCCCCGCAGCGAAGAGTTTGATTTGTCTCAGTCTTTGGGAATTGAGATGCTAGATCTTGGTACATGGTGAAGAGTCCCCTCTTGTCTCTCATCCTCTTAATTGCCCTGAGGCTGTTGCCTCTACTCTCCACCTGCCCCTTCCTCTAGCTGATCTCAGAAGCAGCCCACCTTCCCTCTGGCCCCCGGGCTCACTTTTGACCACCAATCCCAATGAGGACCCATTTGGCAGTTATGGGGATTCTCCAGGGTGTAGACGCACTGTATGAAATAGAGGGTAAAGTCTCGGCTGTGCCAGGGGACTTCGAGGCAGGGCAAACCAGCTGGAGAACCACGGTGGACTCAGCTAGAACTTGTAATTCTGCAACCTGCTCTGGGAATTGGGGTGTGGGTGGGGCATTCTCCACTCCAGAGGATCCATCCCAGGCAGAGAAATCCTTGATTTTTTTCCATGCCAACACTGTGATCTCTGTTCCATATTTATTTTTGGTCTCCTCCCCCTAGCAATTCATGGCTATATCTATTAAAGTGCTTTTTTTAATATTATTCCCCCCCCCCAGTTAAATGGGGGAGAACCACATTTTTCTTTTATTTCTTCCTCCTTCGATGAATCACAAAGGATAATACAGCCTTGCAAACAAGTCACTGGCCACGGGCTAGTAATATTTCCCACAATGAGAAAACTGTGCCCAAGATCACCAACCAAGCACCTTTTGCTAGGGTAGGGTGTCACTTGGATGGCCTGCATATTTTATTTCAATTATTTTCGTATTGATTTGCAAAGCTGTGATAGAAGGAAGGCAATGAACTATATCCCTCCCCTCCCATCCCCCTGCCCCCAACCCAAAGCTCCATCCTTTGGCCCCAATCCTGACAAAGGTCTAACGACGAATGGCTGGGACAGCTGGGAAGTGAGGATTCAGACATGAGCAGAGGGGTTAGATGCTAAGGCAACAGGGAAAACCAGAGACATGCTTATGAGAGTCAGCTTCACCTCACAGAGAGCAACAAGGGAGGGTGGTGCAGAGGGAGTGGGAGAGAACTTACATGGCAGGGAAGGTGATTGGACTCAGACTTATGTCACAAAACAAAAAGAGCCACGAGAGCGGGCTTACTTGCGGAGGTATATACAAGTGAACTGGGGGCACTGTACATGGAAGATCCCTCCTGGTTTGCCTGGCACAACAGCACGGTGCCTACGGAAGAGAGAGAGAGAGATGGTATCTGGTTGGGGGACAGGCACACTACACCTGGGAGATCATATGGCAATGCAAACGAGAAAGGCAGAGAAATGAAAACACAGCCACACGCCCGAGCGCAGGGTGGGGACACCCAGGGAAGCCCCCTGCCTTGGCCAAAGGGGACTGGTAGGAGCCCACCCGCCCAGCCCACCACGCACATGTCATTCTTTTTCACATGGGGTTTGGGTGGTGGGGTCTGATTTCAGATCAGGAATGCAGGCAGCATGGCATAATCAAAAGGGAGCTTTAGAAATATCACAGAGAACTGGACAACAAGCTTGACTCAGATATTACTTAGCTGTGTGATCTTGATAAGTCACTGAACCTCTCTGTGCCTCAGGATTCCCATCTGGAAAATGGGGGTGAATATACCTATCACCAGGAAGGGTTATGAATCGTATTACTGGAGAGGTGCCCAACACAGGGGCTGGCATGTAATAATCACTGAATAAATGGTAAGCGCATGCATCGATATGTTTAAAGAAAACTTTTCCTCTCCCCCATTTTAGTTTTTCTGAATCAGTTCTTCAGAGGAAGAACAGAAGTAAGGCAGGGAAAAAATAAAAGCAACTTGGCCATCCCTGGGACCCACCCTGGACCCATACTGGACTCGGGTGAGACCACTTTTGGCTTCTGCGTTTCCAGTTTCTTCCCTAAAGCTCTCTGCCTTCCAGCAGGAGAGGCTGCTTCCTAAGCCTGCGGACCATGGCTGCACTGTAGTGATGACACTCCTCTCCCTGATTTAAAGCAAAGGGTCTCAGGCTTATCCTTGCAAAATGGAGTTTTATAGCAGGGAAGAGTGGTGGAATCCTGAGATAGCTCCTCAATCTATGACATCTTGTGAATAATACCCACTCCAAAGATGACCAGGTTAGGGAATCTTCAGGGTATCGGTTCTGTTCTCTTGCTGCCGCGAAGCTCAAACTCAAAGAGTTTGAGAAGAATGAGAGAGACCTTTGAGGACCTGTAAGCGTGTTACTGATGATGGAAATGGGCTCCTGTGGTTTCTGTTCCCTTCCCTGGCTGGGCAAGGTCAGCCACCTCCATTTGTTTCTGCTTTCTCCTGTCATCACAGCCGCTGTGAAGCAATCTCCTGGGAGAAATAGCCCTGACTTCCAGTCAACTCACCTATATCCTTGGAGACTTGCCCTTGGGAGGGGTTCTGCAATCCTTTGGTATCTTTCCCAATGTCAACAAAAGGGAGTTAGAACCTCTAGAGTGAGAGGGAGGTTTGCCAAATAGAGAGGGGCTGCCATACAACAGCATTAAGAGACAGGAATCTTTTCTGAACTTCAAAACCAGATGCAGTTCCAAAGGGGGTCTCCAGGACTATCATCCTTCAGGTATTGAGCCAAAATAGAGGAGTCACATGAGGAGGACTAAAAAGGTTTCCTCAAATTCCACCCTGTGTTCCCTGTGTTTCTCTAGATTCTGTACATTGCATCCAGGCAAAACAAAGACTGTTAAAATCCCTAAGGCACCTCACCCTTCCCACAACACGAGGTCGGCCAATTCCATCCCATCTTTGACAAGGAGAAGTAGCCCATGGACAGAAGTTCTATCTGAAGGGATTCCCCCCCCAATCGTTCTCACATTTAACCTGCTATGCCATGCTTATAGCTGGAGAAGAGCCCCCCTCTTTCTCCTCCTCCCACAAAAGCCTGGATAGAAGAGTGAAATTAACTAACCCTCTCTGATAGTCAATATATTGAGAGTCTGGATGGGCTTGAGTCACGATCAACCTCTGCTAAACTGATAGCTCTTTCTTCTTTCTACTTGATTTAAATATAATTTATTGCAACATGTAAGATGAGACTTCACATGTTCTAATTTCTATTCAGTAGGTTTTTCCAGTTCTGGCAGGAAACTGGCATAGTATAGGGATTAAGAACAAACTAAACACACCCAGATCATGGGGCACAGGGTCCAAAATCAACCCACAGGAGGCAGGATACCTCCGAGAAAAGACTTGTCCTAGCCTCTATTCTGCTTTATCAGGGAAGCTCCTGATTTTGCAGGGGCTGCCTGTAAGCTTGTGCTCAGTGCTAGAAATCTTAGAAGAAACTAATATTTCTATAGGATATACAGAAAGCTACCAGATCAGAATCTTCTGGGGAGAAGGGGACCCAGGCAGGCGGATCGTGAGAAAGCTCCCTGGTTAAAAACCACTTTAAAAACGAGATCTGAAGTTTCTTGGGGTGCCTAGGTTTCCAAAGAAAAATATAATTGTAGCAAAAACATATCCAGAAAGGCATTTCAGTATTGTGCAGTTAAAAACCTTAGGGTCAATGTTCAAACTATGCTCTGTAATTTAGTGAATCCCACTGGGGCACAACACAGATTCTCTCTAGAAAACGAAATCCTGGAAGTGCATAATGATGCTTTCCTAATTTTCTTATGCTGTGGATTCTGAGAAAATAGACTGAAATAACTTTGGATGTCCTCTTTGTAGCAAAAAAAAAAAAAGTCTTTATGCAATGATTTTGACCTTTGTAAAATAAAATCCATACTGTCACAGGACTTGGTTTTTATTTTACCTGAAAACATCCTCCAATTTAATTTGCAAAGTACTTATTGTATGTCCTGTTAGTGCTTTGTGACCTTTTCTTACAAGAAAGCTTTGAATTAAACAAAACCAAAGCGGCAGAGAAGACTGTAGCCTCCCTGTGTTTTTTGGGTGGGGGTCAGTAATGTGTGTTTGTTTAAAAAAGTCAGTCAATTAGACAATAGGGTACAAGCAGCAGTATGAGGAGTGTTTACAAGGTCATTCAAGGCACTTTGTGATAACCTGTATGGGAAAAGAATCTAAAAAAGAGTGGATATATGTATATGTACAACTGAATCACTTTGCTATACAGCAGAAAGTAATACAACATTGTAAATCAGCTATACTCCAATATATTTTTTTAAAGAGGTACTTTGTGATATAGCACGGACTGAGCTTTCTAATGAGTCTCCCAAACTGAGTCTTTGATCTGCCCCCCAACATAGACACTCCAACCACCATGAACCGTCTATAACCATCGCGACGTCCTGTATTTCTCAGACTTCCGTGCCTTTGCTTTATAAACCTCCTTAGAATTTAAGGATGGCAACTATGTTCAAATTATACCACTATCCATCCATTCCTTAACCAGGAGAAACCATTCATCAATTTCAATAGTGTCCTTTCCCATTAGCCTGGAATCCTCAGGATCATTCTTAACACAGTTTCTAGGCAGTTACTATCATTAGATCATTGTCGGTGGACGGGATGAAACCTCTATCCTATTCCTGCTCTTACTGTTAGGTTAAACCATATGAAATTGACCTTTCTTATGTCAAATAGGTTTGACATTGGCAATTATATGTGGTTCAATTGAAAAAAAAAGAAGTGGTTCTCCCCTACCCCCAACCCCTCTGCATTAAGTGTCACCTCCTCTCTACCCAGTCTGCAGGAGTTAATTACTCCATCTTCTATGCTCCTATCACACTTAAAAAATCTCCCTAGTAGATCCTTTGATACGCAGTATTACAACTTTTTATTTACATATCAGTCTTAGCTACTGAGAATCCCCCTGGATCACAGCCAAATCATACTCATCCTTTTATCCCCAGCTCCTAGCAAAATACCTGGCCCTCAGAGGGATTAATGAATATGATTGAATTATTATGTTTTTAAAGACCTCTTCATTTCTATTTTCTTTGCTAAAAACACTGCTTCTCCCAACCAACCTTTCTGTCCCTTGTTTATAGCTGGGAATTTGCATGCCTACAGTTCACACTTGTTTCCTCCTCTTTTCTGGTTCTTTGAAGGTTGACTCATCCAGTTTAAGTGGAACCTGAGTAGCCTGGTCATCCATTTCCTGGAAGGTTGATGACTCTATCTGCAGCTGCAGGCACTGGGATCCATGTGACAGACCACGATCTTGGGATCATCAGAGCCTTTCCCAAAGCCTGTCACGCTCACTTGCGAATCGGAGTGCCATGACTGTCAGCATCCTAAATTCTGGCAAGATGTGGGTCCCCGTGGCCGCCCTCGGGCTGGATTTGGCATCTCCAGCGGGGGGAGGGTGAGCCAGGATCCATACCTCAGATGGGGCAACCCAACTCTTCCTTCTCACCTGGAGACTCCCCACTGTGTAGAGGGCCATTCCTGGCCCATGGAGGGGCAAAGAGAAGCCCAGCAGAGGTGTTTCCTACCACAGACAGGAAGGGGAAACTAACGACATTTTATTTTACTGTGCTGCCAACGCTTCCGTGAAGAACTTGGACTCAAACCAACTGGAACAAGGGTGTAGTTTCACCCCTCCAGGCCTTTGCACAGGGTGGTTCTTCTCCCAGGAATCCCTTCCTCTCCCCCTGAGATAATTCCCCTCCCTTTCCACTGGGCTCTGGCTTCTCCTCCTCCTAGAGACCGGGTCTATTTGCCTCTACCTGGCCAGGTTCAGCTTCCCTCCTCTGCTTTTCTAGATTGTGTTGCAATGGTCTATTTAACGAGTATCTTCCCCATGGCACTGAACTCCAAGAGGTCAAGAATCATGTCTTGGGCTTCCCTGGTGGCCCAGTGGTTGAGAGTCTGCCTGCCGATGCAGGGGAAACGGGTTCGTGCCCCGGTCCGGGAGGATCCCACATGCCACGGAGCGGCTGGGCCTGTGAGCCATGGCCGCTGAGCCTGCGCGTCTGGAGCCTGTGCTCCGCAACGGGAGAGGCCACAACAGTGAGAGGCCCGCGTACCGCAAAAAAAAAAAGAATCATGTCTTACTCATCGTCCTGTCCTCATGGGTCCAGGGACCTAGGCTCAGAGTCAGGAAGCAACTGAGGAGAGAAACTACGGGAAGGGATTCTGGTAGGCAGCCCTGTCACACTTTCAAGAAACAAAATTAGAACATTAAAGGAAGAAAAGAAAAGCTGTTTTGCAACGGTTGCCCTTCCATTTTAATACCAAATAGGCAGAGCTACAAGCTAGTCCAGTG